GATTCAAATCTTCATTCATATATATCATATCTATTATATATGAATGTATGTGAATATATTATATGAATATATAATATACATGAATAGATATATGATATACATGAATATATAATATATATCATATATATTCACATATATATCCAGAGCAAAGGATTCAAATAATATTCAAGTACATATTATTTGAATATATATATTCATATATATTACATATAGTATTATTCATATATAATATGTATTCATAGGTATTTATATATCATATATTCATAACGTATATTATATATATTCATATATATCATTTATCTATTCATATATATGTATGAATGAGCTAAGATTTGAATCCAGCTTTATCTGACTACAAAACTTAAGGCATTATTTTAAAATGGGAGCTGGAAACTTCAGACATGCGAGGGCAGAAATTATGCCTTACATACTGTTAATATTTACCTAAGCTTACTGAGAAATAGTCAAAATACAAAACTCAAGAATAAAGGCTGTGAGCAGTAAAGAAGAGGGTGAAAAGCATCATTAAACCTGAGTGAAAATATCCAGATCATTATGTGAAAATATTTTACTGAAGAATAAAGTGTATATATGTGTGTGATACATAATATATATGAAATACATGTTTAACATATATATGAAATACATATATATTTCTTCTGTGTCTGCCTTCTTTTGCTTAAAATGATGTTTCTGAGATACATGCCTGTGTGGCATGTACCAGTAGTTTATCCATTTTATTTTTTCTGTTGAGTAGTATCTTGTGGCATAAATACATCAGAATTTGTTTTTCCATTGTCACATGTATGAATATTTGGGTTGTTTCCAATTTGGAGCTGTTATGACAAGAGTTACGGTGAACATTCTTGTACCAGTCCTTGGGTAGACAAATACTTTCATTTCTCTTGTGTAAATACCAAGGGGGTGGAATTGCTAGTACATAGGATAGACGCATGTTTGACTTTATAAGAACCATTGAACAACTTTACAAAGCGACCGTTTCATTGTACTGTCCCACACCAGATTGTAAGAATTCCAGTTGCTCATCTTTACTACCATTTTATATTTGACAGAAATAAACTTTGTCTGATATGCAACCACATCCACTTGCTTGGACTTAGTGTTGCGTAGTATAGCTTTATTTCCACCCCTTCCTTTTTAACCAGCTAACGTATTAAAGATTTTTTTTCTCGTATACAGAACATATACTTGGGTCTTGCTTTTTTATTTGTTTATTTTTTTGATACAGAGTCTTGCTCTTATCACTCAGGCTGGAATACAATGGCACAATCTCAGCTCACTGCAACCTCCACCTCCCGAGTTAAAGGGACCCTTCTGCCTCACCTCCCAAGTAGCTGGGACTACGGGTGCGCAGCACTGCACCTGGCTAATTTTGTATTTTTAGTAGAGGTGGGGATTTACCATGTCGGCCAGGCCAGTCTCAAACTCCTGGCCTTGGGTCTTGCTTTTTTTTATCCTGTCTGACCCACCTCTGCCCTTTAAGTAAAGTATTTAGTCTGTTTATACTTGATGTAACTACTTATATTTTGGAGTTTAAAACTTACACCTTCCTACTGTTGTTTCACTCAACTGTTTTTGTTCCTGTTTCTCCCTTCCTGTCTGTTTTTTTTTTATGAATTGAGTCCTTTTAGAATTCTATCATATCTTCTTTATTTTTCTTAGATTTTATTGCGTTTTTTCCCTAATTGCTACTCTGGACATTTCAAGACACATCTATAACCAATGCATGTTCTACTTCAAAATAATATTATATTTCTTCACAAATGATGTTAGAGTTTTAAAATTTTGTTGTATAATGCCGTTTCTCCACACACACACTTTCTCTGCCTATTGTCATATGTTTTACTTTTACACATTTGCAAAGCCCATAATATATTGTTACCAGTTTTGCTTTAGTCAATAACCTTTTTAAAAAATGTATTGTTTAACCCTTCTCGCTGACAGTTGTGTCATCTGTGAATCTGGTTCTGCTGATTATTTTTTCTCTTAATTGCGGGGCACATTTTACTCTTTTTACCATGTTTCATGATTTTTTATTGTATGTTGGACATTGTGTGAGAAAGAACAATAGAGATAATATGGTAAATAATATTTTCCCCAGAAAGTCTGTATTTCTTTCTATCTCAGTCCTCTAGGGTGGCAGACAAGTCAATCTAATCTGTAGCTGAGCTGGATCTGGGCTTTCTTGAAGATTTAGTTAGATTCATTTTTCCACTAGCGTCACAGGTGAGAAATGGTGAGGACAATCACTTTAGCAAATCTTGCAATTTGTCCAGTGCTTTATGTAGAAAATGTATGCTGCCAAGTTCGTGGGTCACTGAGGAATTCATTTTCTCTGCAGCATTATCTACAGCTTTCTGCAAGCTGGAAGATCTCTTTCTACTCTGACGTATGTCCTTAGTCTTTGGTAAACTTGCTTCACACTCAGTGAAGAGTTTGTGTACTTTGGGGGATTTTTTTCTCAATTTTCCTCTTAGCTTTAGCCTCTGGTAGGCTGCTGTCATGGTGTTTGGTTAAATTAAAATTAATTATAATTTTTGAAAATAAAGAATTCCATAGCACTGTAACAGCAGTTCTACTTCGACACATACTGCCTCTACCTGTACTATAGAATTTTACATGTGATTAATCAATACAAAATAGTTTGTCTTCTACTTTAACCTGAGCAAGGGTAAGTTTCTCAGGTAAACTATTACTAGGCCAGTGTCAAGTCCAGATTTATTTTTCTTAAATAAAAGTGTTAAGAGAACACCTGTTTGATAACATTAACAAACATATTTATTATTGTGCATACCAAAAACACTTACACTTTGATATTATGTACAAGTATCAAAAAAAGCATGCTGTTCCTTTTGTCTGCAAAACCATGGTCATACTTGCATTACTTAGAATTTACATACAGACGTGTCAGAGATGAGAAGCAGGCACCTGGTCACACTATACATAGCTGTTAAACTTTTCAAGGGTAGATGGTATCTTATTTGCTTTTGGGTTTCTGGCACTGAGCACAAGGTGAATACAGAAAAAAAATAGCTTTGAGAGAGCAATAACAATTCGCAAGTAACCTTCAACAGATGAAACACCGGTATCTAAAGTGATATAATCAGGCAAGATTCCACTGGCATTTCTTACTCTAATGAATATCTTCCTGGAAGCCATGAGCAGTATTTATTTCTGGGTCATCTAGCCTATTTTCCAAGACAAAAACATGTCTTGGAAAAGGAAGCTTCCTGCCTTCTAGTTCTGTCTCAGGTATCGTAGGGTCCCTTGGTCTTCCTGAACCCAACAGATCAAGCAGAAAGCAATAGGGTCTCCCATGATGCACCCACGTCTTGCAGTAGTATGCCAGATGAAGGGATGTTTTCTGGAGGCCCCTCTATCATTTTTTTTTTTTGATTGTTTGTTTGTTTGAGACGGAGTTTTGCTCTTGTTACCCAGGCTGGAGTGCAATGGCGCAATCTCGGCTCACCGCAACCTCTGCCTCCTGGGTTCAGGCAATTCTCCTGCCTCAGCCTCCCGAGTAGCTGGGACTACAGGCATGACGCACCACCATGCCCAGCTAATTTTTTGTATTTTTAGTAGAGACGGGGTTTCACCATGTTGACCGGGATGGTCTCGATCTCTTGACCTCGTGATCCACCCGCCTCGGCCTCCCAAAGTGCTGGGATTACAGGCATGAGCCACCACGCCCGGCCTCTATCATCTTTGAAATCAGCTGTAACCAGCTGGCAGATGTACCCAGGGGTGGGTTTAATGTGCTTCCTGACAGAGACTCCTTCCTCCTTTCTCCTCCACTCCCTCTTTGTCCCACTTTTACTCACCTCACCTTGGAAATCATTTTCCTTGGGCTACAAGCGAGAGCAGCATCTGGTCTCCTGGCACCCTTGTCTGGGCATTTTATGGTACTTACAGTTCTCTACACACACAGTATTGCTCAGAAGTTCTCTGAACCTTTGGTCAGGCTGCTGTTTTTGCCTGGGACAATTATCATCCCGTTGCGGTGGCTAAATGTACAAAACTGAGCCCAACATCAGGATCTGAGGAAGGCTTTCAGGAGGAAGTGGCACCTGAAGTCAGTGTCCCTAATCCGACTCCCATAACACCCAGGAGGTATACACCTTGCTTTAGACTTGACACGCTATACTGCTTTCCTGTCTCCTCCCACTAGACAGGACTCTGGGATGCTCCCGGATGGAGACCCTACCCGATCTGTTTCTGTTTCCACTATGTCTGAACATAGTGACTAGTTCATAGTAAGCCCAATAAATACTTACTCAACTAGTGGAAACCAAGATGGGCACATCTCTCTCCTGTTCTCTGTTCTAATATGGCTGAATGTCTCTTCTGCAGGGTAACTACTTCTACTTGTCCAGGAGTCTGGGGCAGAAAAGCTGAGCCTGTTAGCATCTGAATGACTTTGATTCTTTCCAGTCTGTTTTGGGCGAGGCAAGGATATAGCTCAGACGCCTTGCTTGAACTCAGTGATTTTTAGCTTGCCAATTTGGTAGAGGACCTCTAATTCCAGTTAGCTTTTGTATAATGCCATGGGATCATGAAATATTTATTTTATAATCCTCTGACTAATCAGATACTACTTAATACTTGATTCTAGAAGAGGCAAAGGTACACTGGAAGACTTTGTTTCATGAAAGACTTAGATTTCATGAAAAAATGAAGAAAGTTTCAACTGAGGTGTTTATATATATTGATTAATTTTGTTTTGTTTCAAATTGGGAGAGACAGCTGCTATCTCGTTTTTGCCAGTCTGTGACCTTGCATAGGATTGATACTTGAGACCCTCTCCCTCCTCAGTTATGCAAAATTGCAGTTAAATACACCACCTATTAGCAATAAGTTATTTTAGTTCATAAAAATATAAGGAATTTTTATTTTGATTAATGATGTTTGCTTCCTGAAACAGGCTAACTCAATCTTGCTTATTGAAGAGAGTAACTATTTGCCATCTTTTTCCTTCTCAGGCTGTGAGGTTGAGACTCTGGGCATCAGACCCACCTACTGCCTGGAATATAAAAATGTCCCAACAGATATCAATTTTGCCAACGCCATCAGCGACGCTCTTGACTCCCTCAGGTAGGTGTCCCAAACTCTCAGCCACACCATTGTTCTCTGTTTCTAGGCCCGATCATGGATTCCAAAGCGATTAAGAAGGCTTGGTGGGGCCGGGTACGGTAGCTCACGCCTGTAATCCCAGCACTTTGGGAGGCCGAGGCGGGTGGATCACGAGGTCAAGAGATCGAGACCAACCTGGTCAACATGGTGAAACCCCGTCTCTACTAAAAATACAAAAAATTAGCTGGGCATGGTGGGGCGTGCCTGTAATCCCAGCTACTCAGGAGGCTGAGGCAGGAGAATTGCCTGAACCCAGGAGGCGGAGGTTGCGGTGAGCCGAGATCGCGCCATTGCACTCCAGCCTGGGTAACAAGAGCAAAACTCCGTCTCAAAAAAAAAAAAAAAAAAAAAAAAAGAAGAAGGCGTGATGGAGGTGAAATAATGTTTCAGAGAGTTGGTGAGCATCTTGCATGGTGACCCATTGCTGCTATGGAGTAATTGTGAGCAAGTGACTTCAGGCAGAGGCAATCTCTGGAAATGCTGAATTGAGAAGGAAAATCCCTAAGGGTTTGAACCACCTTTTGTCCATTGTTAAACAACGGAGAAACAATATAAATGTCAGCATTTCCCTAAGCATGATTCAGTGAACAATGCGTCTCTGAAGGTACTGATAAGTATTTGGCAAGGAAAGATATGTGGCCAAATAGTTTCAGAAAACTGCCTACCCTGCCCCCTTCTTGGAAATGTACAAAGAGCGTGGGTATATTAGAACACGGAATCTGCTTTTGCCCTCCCACATGGAACTGTGACACACAGTTTGAGAAATGTAGGAATTAGTAATGCTGTCTTATACAGAACACAAGAGTCTGTCAAGGGACACTGATCACAACAGTTTAGGACAAAGCCTCAAGTCGGTCTCAGAACTCTCTGAAAGTGGAAGTCAAGGTGGGAGCCCAAGTGAGAGTTGGCCTTGACCGGGCGCAGTGGCTCAAGCCTGCAATCCCAGCACTTTGGGAGGCCGAGGCGGGTGGATCACGAGGTCAAGAGAGCTGGCATTACGTAGAGATCAGCAACCAAGAGACAATGGATGCCGGGGGCTGTTGAGTTTCCAGAAGCAGACTTGAGGTCACTGTGGCCACTGAAGAGGTTTCCTGGGTGCGTCAGGCAAAAGACCCGCCATAATCAGAGCATAGAGACCAGGACAGGACCTTCGTCCCCCCAAGGAAAGGAGCCTGGTTTCAAGCTGGGCACATCTGAGAGCCAACGTACCCAAGGCACGGTGTACATAGTACCAGCACGAGCCACATGAATGGCCCTGTCACTAAGGCTGCCTCAGATCCAGAGCTGATAATCATGGACTTTCTTCTTGTCACGCCCCTCCCACACCATGGTGAGCAGCAGCTACCCCCGCAGAGCTGTGAAAGCAGAAAACAGCACCCTGCCTTTACTGCTTCACAGAATGATTTTACTTCCATGAAACCTATCAAGAGGGTCCGGGGAGGTGGGGGCACATAAAGGTTCACGCTTTCATTGACAGATTGGAGAGAAAATAGGTGTAAAATACATGGAAATGGAGAAGTAATTGCCCATAAGTGCTGGAGAACCACACACGGGAGGAGCTGGGATATCGCGTTGCAGTCTGGTTTTGTGTGACTGAAGTGGAATAACGCAGCACGTGCAGCAGATGAGTGGGGCTGGAACCTGGGCATTGCTCCACGCTGTTTAACCAATGCTGTGTCTAACCAATGCTGTTTCCAACATATCCAGACTGCTGGCCATCCCCACAGCCCGTAGCTGTGCCAAATATGAAAATTTGGATTAGAGTTGCCATACAAATACCTCCAAATAACCCAACAGTCTGTTTGGCGATGTCATCCTTTTTGCATTTATCTTAACAGCCGATGGACTGTCACTCTGTACCGTCCAGTGACTCACAGGTGGGTGAGCACAGAGCGCACAGCCATGAGAATCCCAGGTTGGTGCTGGCCTACTAGCTGGCCAGTCTAAGCAGACTTCCCTGTCCAGAGAGACACCAGCATGTGGAGAGGAATAAATGCTGGGCTCTCTTTCCTCTAGAGAAGCAATGGAAATGCATCTTTACCTTGGGGAACATTTGGGAATGGGGGAAGGTTTTGGGGTGGGGGTAGTGGTGGGGTGGGGGTGTTGGTGGGGTATGAGTGTGTATCTACCATAGATATTGGGTTCCACTAGAAAGAAAAGCCTACAGAGAACTGGAAGCCCAGGAAAGCGTCCCCAGCTACGTCTCTACCTAATACTGTACTACCCAGTTCCACATATTCACATGTGGTCTGTGTAGATGGCCTCGAGCTCCACGGGATGGCATTCACATGGTCTGCAGTGACAGTGATGCCCCTGAAGCACTGGAGGCCTGGATAGGCTGGAAACCGGGCCAGTGCAATTGTCTCATGGGGTCTTCATATTGCCAACGTTAATAGGGCCACCAGAAACAGCCCCTTTGGGTAGTCAGTGAAAAGACAGAGACCCACTATCTCCAAAGCTAGGCAGCTCTTGAGATGAGAAAAAGAAAAGAACAGTAATTGGCTGGACGATGCTGCCTGTGGAAGACAGTGAGATGGCTTAGCCCCCCACAATGACCCAGGAAGCCCCTCCTTCAGCCGACCTGTGTGTTATTAGAACATGTCTCATTACCTTCCTACAAAGAAGAATAAAGGTCCAAAAGTTACAGGTCGACATTTTTCTCTGAAAGAAATCTAACCTTTGTCCCCTTCAGGAATGAGGTGAGTGAGAAAGATGTCTCGGACAGTCTAGACCCGTTGCAAGCACTTTGCCTGTAGTAGCCTGTCTGCGCAATCATGTGACTCAAAGGAATCATTACGTCTCTTGGTATGTGTCCAGCAAAGATGTAGCATTGCTGATCCCAACAAGAAGAACGTGTCTAGAACGCCACAGTTCACCTCTTGACTTCTGTTCAGCTCTGCTGCAAATTCCTCACTAAAATTTGAGGAGCACGTAGAGTTTTCATAATGAGTGGCCAAACATACACACACATTTCTCCCAGTCAGTACAAGACTCATAGAGTGTCTTTCTTTGTCCACTTTGCTATTAGTTTGAGAGGCAGGAGAATGGAACCCAGGATAGGGAGGCTTTGACAGAAAGCAGGAGAGGCTGCTAAGATCTCGAGCATCCAGGTCTGCCCAGGGACGTTTCTGCAGAGGATCCGGGTCAGCCTGTGGTAGGAAGGACAGTCTCTTGCCCAAGTTTGATCTAGGCATAGCTTTCCAGTGCTCATAATGCATGACTGAGCCCAGACACATCCTTGTGAAAAGCTGCCTTTAATGCGGACAACTTCTAGGATAGGGAAAAGGAGGTGGGGTGGGGATTAGAGGTTTTTTTTTATTATTGCATTTTAGGTTTTGGGGTACATGTGCAGAACATGCAAGATAGTTGCATAGGTACACACATGGCAGTGTGTTTTGCTGCCTTCCTCCCCTTCACCCACATTTGGCATTTCTCCCCATGAAGAGCCATCAGCTGGTATTGTCAATGGGCTTTATTTCCAATAACTCCCTTGGTTCTCACGTCCACGGTTTGCGTAGCTACTGCCCTTCTGCCTTGCGAAGGAAGCCGCCCGCTCTCTGAAGGTTAAACACTTATCCTCGCTCCTCACAAGCCAGTCAGTGGTGGAGCCAGTGCCTGGCTCTTTCCACAGAGGCTTAGGGCCTTGTCTCTGGAGACCTGCCTTGAGGACACGGTGACTGAGAACCACTCCAGGGTCAACCCCTCCGTCCTCCACCCTGGTCTCTGCTAGCTCACACCTCTAAGACACCCTGAAATTGACACAGCGAGAGAAAGTCCAGACATGCTTCTTTGCAAGTCTCCTCTTCAGGGCCACCCGAAGACCTGGAGTTCTGCAGCCTGCTTAAATGTCGCCGTGTGCCTCCCACCACACAAGGGCACTCTGCAGGCAGCACCTCCACACACGGCCCTTCCCCCTGGCTGAAAAGGAAGCAGGGTTTGTGATCTGCAACACTTACTTCCATCCTCCTGAAAGTCCTATTTGCAGGATATTCATGGCTCAGTGGGCAGGAAAAGGTCCATGGTGCTAAAGCTGAAATAAGCCTTGAGTGGGGCTCGTGGGTGGGTGGAGGAGAGCAGGGGGCAGTCACAGTGGGCTGGGCAGCTGCTTCCAGCTTGTAGAGCAGACGCACTGTGCAGCCTCAGAAACGCATCAGTCAGGAAACAGCTGGGCTGCAGGACAGTGGGCACAGCCATGGGCTGTGTATAGACAGAGTCCTTTGTCAAGCTCCAGGTGACTGAAGACAGCTCCAAAGGACTGCCTTCAGGATCCCCGGAGCCTCAGCAGTGCCTGGGTTAACGAAGGAATGGATGACACAATTCTTTTCACAGGCCACCAAGAAGCCAGCTCCCCTGGCCTGGTCCCTCCTCCCTGTGGATTATAGGGAAGAAGGAGTAGGAATCAGGCTGGATCTGGGAAGCTGGCGCCTCCTCCCTGCTCCACCACATACTCAGGAAAAGCGATCTAGGGGCACCTGGAAGTAAAGGAGAAATGGGAGGCCTTTCTTTCCCCTCCCCTCCCTTTTACTATGTGCCCAGTGCTTTATATACATCAGTTTGTTTAATATACCATGTTACCCTTTGAGCAGTGTACCAGTCTGCTCTCATGCTGCTAATAAGACATACCCAAGTTACAAAGTAAAGAGGGTTAATTGGCTCATAGTTCTGTAGGGCTGAGGAGGCCTCTGGAAACTTACGATCATGGCAGAAGGGAAAGCAGACACGTCTTTCTTCACATGGCAGCAGCCAGAAGTGCCAAGCAAAAGTGGGGAAAGCCCTTTATAAACCATCAGATCGCGTGAGAACTCACTCACATTCATGAGAACAGCAGCATGGGGGCAACCACCCCTACGATCCAATCACCTCCCACCGGGCCCCTCCCACAACACACGGGGGCTATGGGAGCTATAATTCAAGATGAGATTTGGGTGGGGACGCAGCCAAACCATATCAAGTAGGTTTTTTAGTTGGGGAACTGGAGGCTTGGAGATAATCTTGCCATTCATCCGAGGCCTCCAGGTGAGTAAGAAGAGAAGCCAGTGTTTGATTCCAGACTTGTCCAGTTCCAGTGACCCTGTCAAAAGATAGTTTTCAAAGTTAAGTCTTTGTCATGTGCTCACTACATCTGGGTATGAGGACTATGCCAAGGTTCAGTGTAGTTTCCTGCTGAGGCGAACCAGGGGCATGACAAAGCTGGTAATAAGGAGAAAATGAGATACACACACATCAGGAAACAGAAGGACGGACAATGATGAGGGATAATTATTGCTTGATGAAGATATGCTTAATAATGTAGAGGATAATCAAACCATAATTTTCGGGCTGTGTTCTCCATCAGACAGAAATAATTTTCGTCTTATCAGTTTCCTACAAGTTAGCAGCGAGGTTTCTAGAATCTGAACGCCGATCAGTAGTTCAGTCTGGTGACCCGAGCAAGCTTATTAGACAGCGCTGAACGCAGCCTGAGAAGACAGGCCATCACACTGTAGGCTTTATTTCTAAGTTCAGTAAGAAAAATGGAAAGAACATTAAGACCTTTTTACATGGCAAAGAAATCTGGATGGCATCAGAATGTGATGAGGGACTCAGGTGTCCCTGAAACCCCAGGGCTAGGAACCCCTTGCAGCTCTCAGGCAACTGTGCTGGTGGCCACAGGTCCTTCTGGAATGGTTCCTGGACCTTAGAGCTGTCAATGGCCAGTAGCAGATGGGCAGGCATGACTGCCCGTCTCTCCTCACCCAACCGATTCATTGCAAATGAGCAATGGAGATGGAGACCTCCATCTGGGATGGAGACCAGATCTGTGTGGAAAGCAGCTGGCCAGCAAGCATCTGTCAGCTCATCTCCAGACAGGCAAGAGGCCTCAGCCCTTGCAGACGTAGGTTCCTGATGAGTCAATGAAATGTCAACGTAGAATCCTTTCACAAGAGACATCCCAAATCCGGGATTCCCAGCATCTGGGGTTGACAGCTTCTTGATCAAAAGCCATCAGACAAATTGTCATACATAATGGCTGACATGGAGGTTTGTGAATATGGTGCTAGCCCTAAAGAAACCGGTACAGTGAGTGCTGCACTAAGCTGAGATGTCTAACATGAAGACACCTAGAAGGAGTTCATCCATTACAGGCTAATGCAATGGTACACTTTCTTCATGAAAACTCCTCATTCTAGTAAGTCACCACGGAGTTTAATCGAATTTTCCCCTCCATATAAGCCCACTCTGGAAGTGTGAACACCTAAACAGATGCCATGCTGTGTAAACAGGCACATCGGAAATGCTAAAGGTGCACGCACCTAAAGCAATGAAACACTGAGGCTTATCCAAAGGACAGACTGTATGGGAGTCTCACTGTGTTCAAAGATCGTGATGGCAGAAGTACCATCAGCCCGTAAATTCAGGACTTAAAAGAGTTCTGGCACATGTGTGAAATGCTACTGTCTCTCACCAACCACCTACACGTTTGTAGGACCCTGAAGTGACTTTGTTCTCTGCCACCTATAGATGCAGAAGGAGTTTGGATTGTCGTACACACATTAGTGAGCGCGCATCATGATAATGCCATTTGTGAGAAACACCTAAATCATGACCTAACCCCATCCACAATGTGCAGGAGGGTGGTGAGGGGACTTTTTAACCAGGGACCAGTTCGTTTTATTCTAAAAAGAGAAAAGAACATTTGACGAGCAATTTTGCTTAACTTGTAACCCATGTATCCTCAAAACCGTGAATGAAGTTCACCTCAGGGCACCCAGGGGGCAGGTAAAGAATGTGCCCCTCACACATTTGACTGTGATGAAGGAAGATGCCAGGCGAGCATTCTCAGGGACTTGCTCCCAGCTGAGTGCTCAAAGTTTGCTAGAGTTAGAAGTATCCTGCCTTTGGAGATGTGGCTCTAGATGTGTCTCAGAGGTCTGCGAGGCCTTGAGTGACATCTTGAAACTTCTTAGGCCTATCTCTTCATCTATAAAACCTGCAAATGCTTTTCCATGAGGATACCTTTCACTGCCGTGACAGACGTGGGAGGCCTATTCAACCCACAGACAGAGCGCTGAGTGCACAGAAGGGAAAGAGACTTGATTTCACCCTCACACTCTCACCTGTCCCACACCTAGCCTTCTAAGGGTTGGTAGAATTCATAAGAGAATAAGATCCATTTCCAAAAGATCATTAAGACTAAGCAGAATGTTCCTTGGTTGGCGAGCGTGGGCTGCTGAGTTCCTCCAGGGCATGCAGTGGTTGTGCTCTGGGGCTGGGAGTGAGCTGCACCAGGGTTTGAATCCCAGCTCCATCTCTTACTAGCTGTGTGATGTGGGCAACTGTCTTGCACTCTCTGTTCAAGACATTCCTACCTTTCATGGCTGTTTTGAGGATTAAGTAAGATAATATGTGTAAAAGCTCTCAATGTAGTGCATGACCCATAGCTGTCACTTACTGAGCACTTTCTATGATTATACATTCAAAGGAGCATTAACAGGGCTCCTGTCGTGCGCCAAACGCCAGGCTGGAGATCAGATACAATGAACAGTACATCCTGGCTCCTACAGTGAACAAATCTCACAATTTAGACAGGGAACAGGACATGTAAGTGGGCAATTACTGCACAGTATGGAAAGTCATAGACCAGAAGTGAATGCAGGGTGCTATGGGAACACACAGAGGGCTGCCTAATCTATCCGCAGGGCACCAAAGGAAGCTTCCTGGAGGAGGCAGTACCTCTCCTGGGACCTGAAGGGTGAGCGGGAGTGGTTTAACGATGGTCGGGTAGACTGAGCTCTCTGAGCTACTGTGGAGCTGTTTTCCCTCCCGTGTGAATGACAAGGTCCAAGGCTCTGTGGGCTCCAGGATACGGTCTTTCCTTTCTCGTGTTTTAAGTAGTGGGGAGGCCGTATCAGGGGAAGCAGTGCCACTGCATCTGTGTGCGCGCATGTTTGTGTTTAAAATCCGCCAAGAGTATTAGTTATCAACCCATGTAGAGTCCAGACAGGGAAGTGAGTTTTCGTTCCTTTGCCATGCTGCGTCTTTCGTTAGTCATGCTAACATCATGCTCGTCATCACCACCATGGCCGTCGTCATCGTCACTCTGATCAGTTTCAGGTGCAGAGGTTATGGGAAAGCCAGCACTGGGGAGGGAGCCACAGTGGAAACACTGCGGGAAGGGAGGAGAGAGCATTCCAGGTTCTTTCTCCCCTCTCCCGAACTCTGCAAGCTTCCTACCCCAATTTATATCACTAGCTGCTAGTCCTTCTTAACTCAGGAATGAGGGTGAAACAGCTTGGATTTTAGCTAAGAAGGGGAGTTTTGTCAGAATGGGGTCTTCCTGGGCCCCTAGAAACGTGGTCACTGCTAGAATTCACGCGATATCAACATTGGAGCTGACCCTTCCCATGCCCTGTAGAACAAGTGTCCAAGGGAGGCCCACTGACGCCAGTCCCTGACACTCATCTGTTTGCCTCCTGCAGGGGTGCTGTGGAAATGCTTTTCTCGTCCTGGCCAGCCAATTAGACTCACGATATAGTGCTTAACTTAGAGCCTTCCTTAAAGTCCAGCAATGACTGTACAGCAGTTATTTAAATGACAGCTTTGAGTGTTTCTGACCTGGTGACAGCAGGCGGCCAGGATACAGCAAGAACTATCCGCAGCCTCTTACCGCATCTTCCCCCTCTCCAAGGCATGATGGGAAATCGTTCATCACCAAGGTGCTCAGGACCAGCAATTCTTGGCTCAGTGTGTGTTTCTCCCTTGGAGATCTGACCTCATTTGTTTTCGCATATTGGCTTTTCCTGGCCCAGGGACCAGGTTTCGGGGTGTGAACAGCTTCATAGAATGCTACAGGGGTGATAAGGGAGCAAGCTGCTGGGGGCCTCCCTTACCCATGCCTCTCTCCTCTGTCCCTCCAGGAGTGGCCGCGCTGACCTGGCAGCCATATACCATGAGCGTATCGACGTGGAAGGCCACCACTACGGGCCTGCATCCCCGCAGAGGAAAGACGCCCTCAAGGCTGTAGACACTGTCCTGAAGTACATGACCCAGTGGATCCAGGTGACCTGAAGCAGACACCTGGCCTGGCCTTCTCTCTGCCACCCTCTGTCTCTCTCCGTTACAGTCACTCCCGTCAACATCTTAAAAGCTGTCTGCGCCAGCACAGGCTGTGATGGGTCCCTTTGCTTCACACAATGCCTCCTGCAGTACCAAGAGATCCCTTGTTCCACAGCCAGGCCAGTGAGAGAGAATGGCCTAGGTGTGCCTTCTCGCCTGGCTCAGCTAGAGCGATACCAGCTCTGTGAAACCCTAATCAGTTTGGTAGAAGCTTGACAGGTGCACAGCTGCCCATCCCGGTTCTACCACATGCTCGCTGAATGACAGAACACGGGGTTTGGTTTGGTTTTGCTTTTGTTTTCTCTTCCTGTGCCTTATTCTGTGTATCTGTAACATGGGCGTGTGATAGTTCTCAAACAAGCGCACGAGTTTGTTGAAAGAGCCGGAAAAGCTGAAAGTCCCGTGTTAGGTGTCGGCATGCACTGAACCCGGCTGAGCCTCGCGGTCCCCTCTGCAAAGGGCTTCTGTTGTAGTTTTGAACTGGGTCTCACCAGGGCGAAATAGTAGATGGTTAAACACAGAACTGAGAAGACAGCCTTTCTCCTATCATTTGTAGTTGACGAGGTTTTCCGAGGGCAAGAGCCTCCCGGCTGGTGCTGTAACGACTGCCTTTCCCACCCCACAGGAGCGGGGCCTGCAGGATGAGCTGAATGTCATCATTTTCTCGGATCACGGAATGACCGACATTTTCTGGATGGACAAAGTGATTGAGCTGAATGAATACATCAGCCTGAATGCGCTGCAGCAAGTGAAGGACCGCGGGCCTGTTGTGAGCCTCTGGCCGGCCCCGGGGAAGCACTCTGAGGCAAGACAGCCCTGCGGGGCGAGGGGGCCGAGCAGGCCCTTGTTTGTGGCCACTTTGCAGTGTATCCTTTCCTCGTAGTTTCATTTATTTAGGGAGTCTTGCTCTGTTACCCAGGCTGGAGTGCAGTGGTGTGACCTCGGCTCACTGCAACCTCTGCATCCGGGTTCAAGAGATTCTCCTGCCTCAGTCCCATGAGCAGCTGGGATTACAGGCACGTGCCACCATGCCTTGCTAATTTTTTTGTATTTTTAGTAAAGATGGGGTTTCACCATGCTAGCCAGGATGGTCTGGATCGCCTGACCTCGTGATCCGCCCACCTCGGCTTCCCAGAGTGCTGGGATTACAGGTGTGAGCCTCCGCATCTGGCCTCCTCCTAGTTGTAATACTGACATACAGAGCAGTGTCAGCAGCTCGGATGCTGGAGGCAGGTGACCTAGTTTGCCTCTCACTCCCTGAGTGATCTCCATCAGGCCTCTGCTCTTCCTTCCCTGAAACAGGTGTATGGTACCTAGTGCATTGAATGTCATGAGAATTAAATGAGATGAGGGAAGCCTCACACAAGCCCTCACTAGGGCTGTTTAATTACTGGCCCAAACGCAGCACTTCTCAGGCACCTCTGGGGGGCATCAGTGGCATCCCTAGCTGTCCTTTCTCAGGAAGGCGGCTGCTGCCAGGCTGATCTGTTTCTGTCTGGGAATAGAAGGGTAATGCATGGAGGGAGCTGAGGCTGTGTGCTGTGCCCAGCTCCTTATCTCAGGAGCCACCATTCCCAGCTCAGTGCTCAGCTGGAAGCCAGACAAGCTCCCCACCCTGGCCCCTCTGCCTCTCTGTACATGAGGATGGTGGTGTCGCCACAGCTGCCTCCTGGCTGCTGGGAAGCATGCTGAGCCCACTGCAAAGACAGAGTATGAGTCGGTGACCACGACGATCTCCCGGCAGAGGGTGTGGTTGCATTCCCACACTGCCAAGATGTGGGTCAAAGCTTTGCTCCCCACAGTCACTACCCTGCGCCCGGCATGACTAGACCTCTGCTTACTCTGCTCTCAAAATAATTATTCTGCCTGGCAGTAGCTGGTGACCTACCCTGAGAAGCGAGGAGGAGCAAGCGGCACCTTTGGCTGCTTGTCCCCCGAGTTCCTAGTCACTTCCCAATATGGGCTTTGTGGCTTGTCCCACTCCCAGATGAAACTGATCTGGGCAGGAAGCAACTGTCTTCCTGGGGGAAGGTGAGCCTGTCGCCCCTGGAGGTTGCCAACCACAGGGTAGGTCCTGGCCTGCTTCCTCTCTCCATCCTCACTGCAGCAATGCAGTGGGCTCTGGGCAATCATTAGTAAGGATGAAGCACTGGTGGAGGCCAGGGCCTCACGTCTTTGGCCCAGAGAGAGACCCCTGGCAAGCTGCCTACTCCTCTATAAGATCTGTCTATTTGTAGTTGAGGAACACTGATGCCCACGATGCCACAGTTCCCAGCCTTGCCCCATCCCCAAGGGGACGGTCCTTTGTTCTCGGGCTCCATGTAGGTGCAGGGCCTATTTATGCAGTGATCCCAGGAGCTCCCAAAATATGAAATCAGGGACAAATTTTACACATCGGCAGGTTCTTGAAAATAAGTTCTTTTTTTTTTTTTTTAATATTGGCAAGGAAGATCATCCTTGTCTCCAATTTGGCGCTCAGGAACGCGCCGTCTCCAGAACTTGGGCATCCACAGCTTTTGAGCTAGGGAGAGCTCCTTCCAAGGTAGGTTCAGGGCAGGCACTGCAAGCAGCCAACGCAGTTGGTAGAGTATCCAAAAGTGGGGGCCGTGTTTGGGCAACAATTTGTCATGTGACGGACACAACAGTTTGCGAGAGCTGCTGCGTCGCGCCAGATTTTTCACTTATACAAAATCTTGCTGCAAATGCATCCTACATGCCTTAAGAACTCCGGATTTCCTTAAGCAGAAAATTGTAGCTCATGGAGCCATCAGAAACCATCCACTCAACTATTTTACAGAGTCGAGTTGATCAGCTCAATCTTATATTCAGTTATGCCCAGGAACATGTGCCGGATCTGGCTAACGGCCAGGTCCACACCAGCCAGTCGATTTTGAATGTTAGCCATAGATATTTAAGTGGCTGTACATTAGAAATATGTACAAGGCTGACGCCTGTAATCCCAGTACTTTGGGAGGCCAAAACTGGCAGATCACCTGAGTTCAGGGGTTCGAGACCATCCTGGCCAACATGGCAAAAACCCATCTCCACTAAAAATACAAAAGTTAGCTGGGGCCGGGCATGGTGGCTCACGCCTATAATCCCAGAACTTTGGGAGGCGGAGGCGGGCGGATCACGAGGTCAAGAGATCGAGACCATCCTTGCCATGATGAAACCCCGTCTCTACTAAAAATACAAAAATTAGCCGCGTGTGGTGGCACGTGCCTGTAGTCCCAGCTACTCGGGAGGCTGAGGCGGAAGAATCGCTTGAACCCAGGAGGCAGAGGTTGCAGTGAGCCGAGATTGCGCCACTGCACTCCAGCATGGCAACAAAGCAAGGCTCCGTCTCAAAAAAAAAAGAAAAAAAAGTTAGCTGGGTGTGGTGGTGGGTGCCTGTAGTCCCAGCTACTAGGGGAGCTGAGGCACGAGAAGTGCTTCGACCCAGGAGGGGTTGATTGCGCCATGTGAGTCAAGATTGTGCCACTGTACTCCAGCCTGGTGACAGAGTGAGACTCTGTCTCAAAAAAAAAAAAAAAAAAGAGTGCAAAACGGATCGTTCTTGATTTTCTTTGCAGATCTATGACAACCTGAGCACGGTGGAACACATGACCATCTACGAGAAGGAGGCCATCCCAGGCAGGTTCCGTTACAAGAAAGGGAAGTTTGTCTCTCCTTTGACTCTAGTGGCCGATGAAGGCTGGTTCATAACGGAGGTAATTATGAAATTTCTGACCATTTATTCACTATGCAAATTCTATAAAACAGTGCAAAGGTAAATAACAGTTACTCGGTTTTTACATGGAAAAGACTTTTTCATGAAGGCATCATTTGTTGCATTATTTCTTTCTTTAGAGAATCAAAACTCGTGATCGGGTAGTTGTGTAGACACAGCTGTAGATGGGAACCCGGAGTCACGGTTTAGACTTCATGGCTCCAGACTTGCTGTGTTTTAACAAACGGGCCTTAACTCCATTGCGGGGCTTACAATGTAACCTGTTGGCTTCAAAGCGGAACAATTACTGTGAACCAAAGCAATCGCTCAAGGGTAGTCAAAAGAAGGAGAGGCTCAGCTTCACTTTCACCTTCAAGAGAAACATTTGGCAAACAGGACTGTGAGCCCCCAGTTGGCCAATTCGATCTTTCACAGGAGATTATCATGCATTTTTGGTCCAAACCTTAATTGCCTCATGCCTGAATGCCCTCAACAGCCTCCCCTGGTTAGCCTGGACTCCAGGCTCAGCCAGCTCGGGCATCAGCTTACGATACCAGCCCATGGTGGGAAGGCCCTGTCCTTTCGGGGAGTCTGTGGTCCTATCATGTTTAGTTAATTCCTGAAGACGGTACAGGTTATTTTAGGAATTTGAAGGGGGTTGCAATTATTAGCTTGGTTCAAAAGTAATCGCGGCATGGGAAAAAATTATCATCACTTTTGCATCACCCTGATAGAACGGACTCCAGGGTACATGAGAGTAGCTGGTTGAGGCCAACCAAGCGTAAGACCCAGGACTCGTCAGCAGCCCCCTGGGGGTGGAGGCAGGTGATGACTGGCAGGAATGCTGACTGGGCAAATGTGTGGGAGTCCGGGACATGGGCATGGGAAAATGCGGGGGGTGTGGCACGAACCTCAGTTATGCAGGAGGACTGCGTGGCTTCTGGGTGCTCTCAGAGAGAAGCCCCTGGCACTGAGGAATGGAGAAAAGAGGAGATATGGTTAGGAGTGTGAGTATGCAGAGCAGAGGCCAGCGAGACCTCCTCAGCCAGCTCTGGCTTCTCTGCCACGTGGTTTACAAGGTCTCCATGGGGGTCCCTGTGCTCCCTAATCCGAAATGCTTCTTGTCGCTTCATCACACCGTGTGAAGTTTGCCCGGAGTGAGGTTGGGTTAGGACTTAGAGTGCCTTGCTCAGGACCTCACACGGAGCACACTGTACTCAAGCAAGCCACCTGCCTCACTCTATTCCACGCCAACTCTCCAGGTCGCCCCAAAGGGCTCACTTTTGGAACTTTTTTTTTCAGTTTGTAAAATTCCGGAAGAAGAGCTTTGAATTTTCAAAAGCAAATCCGCTGTGAAGGTTAACCCACGGCCGCCAGTCATTTCTTAGCTGGCTATTTGTACCCATCATTACTTTCTCGGCTTTAGTGAAGTCACCCTTGCTGAGAGGCTGGGCAGACGGGAGGGAGAGCAGAAGAGGGCAGAGGTGATTGGGGCATCTTGCTGGAAAACAGGCTTTAGGGGAGTGCAGGGCCAGAGGTCACTATGGAGACGCTGGATGATGAATGAGGTACCATCTCAATTCCGGCGGGAAAGGTCTTGGCTCCCCACAGTAGAGTGTGACAGGTGCTGGGGAAGCAGCTTCAGCCCTGAGTCCTCTCAGCGAAAGTAAACATGGTATCTCAGCAGCCACACATACGGCATGAAGACGCGGGGCCTTCCAGGGAGTGATGAAACGCAGTGCTGGGAGACCTTGAGGCATCCGTTAAAAAGCTCTTGTTGATAAATCACAGACCATTTGATAAATGTGGCTCAAACTAGAAGGATTTGCTATCCCACGTAACTAGAAGGATCCGCTACCCCACGTAACTAGAAGGATCTGCTATCCCACGTAACTAGAAGGATCCGCTACCCCACGTAACTAGAAGGATCCGCTACCCCACGTAACTAGAAGGATCCGCTACCCCACGTAACTAGAAGGATCCGCTATCCCACGTAACTAGAAGGATCCGCTGTCCCACGTAACTAGAAGGATCTGCTGTCCCACGTAACTAGAAGGATCCGCTGTCCCACGTAACTAGAAGGATCTGCTGTCCCACGTAACTAGAAGGATCTGCTGTCCCACGTAACTAGAAGGATCTGCTGTCCCACGTAACTAGAAGGATCTGCTATCCCACGTAACTAGAAGGATCTGCTGTCCCACGTAACTAGAAGGATCTGCTGTCCCACATAACTAGAAGTCTGGAGCAGGCAATTGCAGGATTGCTGAATCCGTAACTCAGTTACATCACACCCCAAGCCAGCTCTTCTGCAATGCTCTTGCCTTTCCTCAAGGTCACAAGGTGGTTGCTGCAGCTCCAAGCATCACATCATATCCCATTAGGACACCCCAAAGCAGGAAAGAAAAGGTGTGGGTTCTCTTTGCACATCTCCCGCTTTTATCAGGAAGCAAAATATACATACCGGATCCAGGGTCAGAGTCTGAGGTTTTGTAGGACTCTGGGGACTATAGAATTAAGGTGAGGGGAATCTCTCTTAAAGAGGTATACAAACACAATTTTGAATATAAAATTAGGTACAGGGACTTGGAAGAAGTTCACACACTTGAGAAGCGTTGATGCATAAACTTTAACTGCGCTGTGAGTCTGCTTTCACCCAGAACCCACTAGCGGCTTCCCCTGGCTCAGCTTTGGTTCTGTGATGTGAAATTGTGCTGAAGTGCAGACCAGGGGGCCACAATCACAGGACAGAAGTGAAACCGAGGCCAGGAGTCAGGCAGACAGGGGTCTCGAAACAAAGAACAGAGAGAAGGGGTAAGGGGACAGCAAGGACAAACAGCACCTCTGCACCCATTCTGCCTGGTGCTGGCCCTCTCAGGACACCCAGTGATGATTCTGAGGACGCATCCTCCTGCCCCTGGCTCTGCTTCCATCTCCCCGCCATCCTCCCGCCCCGCACTCTGCTGTGGGTCCAAGTACCTGCTCCCCTGTAGGAAACCGACACATTAATGCTGACCATGTTATGTTCTATTATATATTACTTTTGTAGGCATTGACAAATACACACACACACACACACAGACACACACACACACACACACACACACACACACGTTTGTCTGTATATACTGCACTTTACAGAGAAGCCGCAGGACAGGAAGGAAGAACGCCGAGCTACTGAGAATTCCTTGAGCGGCATTTTAAAATATACAATCATTTCCAAAGAAAGATTTGAGGTAATTTCAAAGATAAGTGAAGCAGAAATCTTGAAAAACAAGAACGAACATCATAAATAAGATAAATAGGGTGTGAAAAATACAATTAGCTCTGAAAGACGAGGATGGCTCACTAATAGACCGTCCATGGTGGCTCAGGCACCTTTAATTACTAATGATACGTGCTGCAGAACTCATCGTCATCTGTGACGCCCCGATCCTTAGGAACTCGGGAACGACCCCTCCCGCAAAGCTTCAAGGACGTGCATCTAAAGTTATTTTGCACTTTGCAGATAATAAGTACATCAAGAAAAATTTCTGTTTACGTTTTAGTCAATGACAACAACAGCTGCCACTATAAGAGCGACCTTGAATTAAGTGCGTCTAGTTCCTGTCTCTACGTCCCCTGATGACTCTGCATTGTGGGTTCTGTTAGTTCTTTTTTGTTTGTTTGTTTTGTTTTTGTTGTTTTTTTGAGACAGAGTCTCACTCTGTCACCCAGGCTGGAGTGCAGTGGCGTGATCTTGGCCCACTGCAATCTCACCTCCCGGGTTCAAGAGATCCTCCTGCTTCAGCCTCCCGAGTAGCTGGGACTACAGGCATCTGCCACCATGCCCGGCTAATTTTTATATTTCTAGTAGAAACAGAGTTTCATCATGTTGGCCAGGGTGGTCTCGAACTCCTGACCTCAAGTGATCTGCCCACCTCGGTCTCTCAAAGTGCTGGGATTACAGGCGTGAGCCACCGTGCCCGGCTGATACTGTTAGTTCTGAAAATAGCACACTGCTAAATACACTGGAACGCTCACATGGTCCGAGCTTTTCGGAAGTCTACCCAAAGAGAAGAATCACTTCCATTAATATAATTCATGGCATCTATATCCCAAAGACAAATGTTTCTCTGGAAAATCATAATCGTCCCTGAGTCCTGAGAGATACTGAGATATCTTTTAATGACTCTTTGCAGCTTCCTAGACTAAATATCTTAATCATTTTACTTCTGTCATGGAATTTATGAGTTTTTATCATTAAGAAGTCATATGTAAAGGTTATAATTTCTGATTCTCCTTTTTTTTTTTTTGAAATGGAGTTTTGTTCTTGTCATCCAGGCTGGAGTGCAGTGGTGCAATCTTGGCTCACTGCAACCTCCGCCTCCCGGGTTCAAGAGATTCTCCTGCCTCAGCCTCCTGAGCAGCTGGGATTACCCGCATGCACCACCATGCCCGGCTAAATTTATATTTTTAGTAGAGATGGGGTTTCTTCATGTTGATCAGGCTGATCTCAAACTCCCAACCTCAGGTGATCCGCCCATCTTGCCCTCCCATAGTGCTGGGATTACAGGGATGAGCCACTGCACCTGGCCCTGATTCTACTTTAACATAACGCTGGGGCTTTGTTTGCTTCCTGAGAAATCCCGAAAACAAGGGCCTGTTCTTTCCCTGTTGGCTTAGACCTCTTTATTTCACATCATTCTGTTGTTTGTTATCCTTTCCTGACAGCAGGGAGTTAAAATCTCCACTCTATATCCCCGTTTCTGCTCTGTGCCAAGGCTCTTAATTGCTCACATTCCTATTTGCAAAATTTCTCCCCAAATGGTGAAAGAATGTTAAGTTTTGTCCTGAAACCTACATACCCGTCCACAGTACATGCGTCGACGTTTCAGGGCTGGCTTACGCTTTGCATCTGTGGCATGGCGACACTCTCGGCCTGAAAGCAATCTCTCTGGGTCTGAGTCCACCTGGAAGATGGGACTGGTTTCTGGTTTAGCCTCGATTAGGAAAACAGCTGAG